GGTGTTCGGTAACTCCGGCTGTACCCAGCGGTTGCCGTGTGCTGTCTGTTTCTGCCTGGGAGAGAGCACGGGGAAAATGTATTTGAAGCAGCAAAACGTGTTTTGTGGGGGGACACGCACCGAAACCAGCAGATTTCTGTCTATACGGGGGATATAGGTCTTTCTCCTAATGTTGTGCTTGCTGGGTCATGGGTAAAATAGCGGACCAGCGTCGCACCTCAACTTGGCTAGGTTTGAGTTCCCCGGCTAGAAGACATGCTTGAGTTGAGTTTGCCTAAAAGCAGAAAAAAAAAATTAATTTTATGTCCTGTGTCAGAATCTGAGAGTGATAGTGTTTACAACTTCTCTTAAAAAAAAAGCCTCACTCACCACTGCTTTGTGAAGGACATGGGAAATTGTCTGTAGACAGAGCAAGCAAAAGCACAAAGAGCAAATGCGGACAAAAGGCACCAGTCTTACCTGTGCCAAGAAACGAGGTTCCTTAAATTAAGTAGTGTGTCTCCTAGACAACAGTATGTTTAGGAAACCATAAGATTTTGTTTTAAAAATTGGGCATAGCGCTGTAGGAAGAATGTAAACTCCCAAAGCATACCAGATTCCTCTTTTTCAAAAGCTTTAATACTGTCAAGAAATAAAATCCTGGATACTTCAGCCTAAAATAAAGCATTTTAGGCCTAATCTACACAGAGAAACATAATGGTGTACTTATACACAGAACTATAATGCTACAATAACTCTGAACATGTATTTTCCTACAACTGCAACCATTTAGATAAAAAATGATGATGGTGTAGTTTTAAGGTTAAATGTAGAAACCCCTCATTTGGCAGGTGATGACTTTTTGATATCAAAGTAATTTCACTACCTAGAATACCACGCAGCCCAGTCCAGCTCAGATCTCCAGCAAACAGGTCTGTCTAACCATTCTCACGCAGTAGTTGATTGGATCTGATAATACATCTGGCATCAGTAACCCCCTTAAATTACTGTATTTTCTCCTCCAAGGAAATGTTCATCCATTTAAATAGTACAGTAGAGCATCTAGGCTTTGACTTATGTTTTTTTCAGGGGGGTTTCACCATACACAGCAGTACAC